ATGCAAGACAACCAGCTAATAAAGCATAACAGTAATCTAGTCTAACTTTTCTGCATCAGAAACCGATAGCATGTTTTGTAGCTTAGCAATGTTTCTAAGGTGGAAAAAGGCTGTGCTTGTAACATATGAAATATGATTTTCGAAAGACAAGTTGTGGTCTAGTATAACACCCAGGTCTTTTACTGTAGTGGATAAAGTAACAGGACATCCTTCTAAATTAAAGTTGTATTGTAAGAGGTTTTGTGGGTAGTTTTTTTACCAATAAGTACATCTCCGTTTTATCTGAATTTAATAGCAGGAAATTACATGTCATCCAGAATTTTATATCTTTAAGACACTCTGTCAATTTATATGAGTTAGTGTTTTATCTGGTCGTGATCAAATATACAATTGAGTGTCATCAGCATAACAGTGGAAATTAATTCCATGTTTTCTTATAATACTACCAAGTGGCAGCATATAGTATATTGAGAATAGCAGAGGGTCTAACATCGATCCTTGCGGTACTCCATAGTCTACTGAAGTTATCTTCGATTTTTCCCCATTTAAACAGACAACATTGCAACGGTCTGATAAGTACGATCTAAACCAGATTAATGCCTCTGAACACCAGTGTAGTTTTGTAGTTGATCCAAGAGTATTTTATGATCTATAGTGTCGAACGCAGAACTAAGATCGAGTAGAAATAGTATTAAAATGCAGCCTTGGTCAGAAGCTAAAAGTAAATCATTTGTAATTTTAACTAGCGCAGTTTCTTTAATATGATTCGGTCTGAATCCTGCCTGAAATCTTTCATAGATATCGTTTTCTTGCAAGAAAGAGCACAATTGAGCGGACACAAATTTTCTTTTATTTTAGACATAAATGGAAGATTTGAAATGGGTCTGTAATTTGCAAGGTTATTTGGATCTAATTGCAGTTTCTTAATGAGAGGTTTTATTACTGCCAGCCTGAATATTCTTGGACCATGACCTAAAAATAAAGACGAGTTAATAATATCAAGAGGCTCTTCCACGGTTTCTTTCAGTAGTTTAGTGGGTATTGGATCTAATAAACAACATGTTGTTGGTTTAGATGCAATGATAAGTTTTATTTAGCTCTTCCTGTCCTATAGTTGTAAAGCGGTGTCGTTTTTTTGAGGGGCGATAATTGAGGCTGAATCACAAGACACCATAAAAGATTGTACATTATAATTGTGTTTCTGATGCTTTCTTTTTTCTCAGTGAAGAAATTCATAAAATCAGTACTTCTACAGGTATACTGTAACGGAATATTTTGCTCTGGTGACGTCCGTTTATTTGTTAGTCTAGCCACGGTGTTAAATAAAAACCTTGGTTAGGGTTGTGCTTATTGTTTTGTTTTTTTCCCTCCCTTCTAACTGTTGGACTGGGAACGCAGCTGGCACGCCTAATGCAGTAATGGCGGAGGTTTAATTAGGAAGCGAGGGTAATGAATCTGGCAGGGCCCGGGCCGGGAGGGAAAGTGACGCAGGACGCAGCGGTGCTGCAGCCCGGCTCCTCTTTACAGCTCCACGTCACGTCTCGGAGCCACCACATTAATCATATGGCAGCAGAAATAAAGCCGAGCATCCGTAATACTTACAAATGGCGAGCCAGTGCAACTGAAGGACAAGGAAAGGTCGTAGCACGCTGGCATCAAAGACAGCGTCGTATACAAAAACAAAGGGGCAATGGAATAACATCACCCCCTCACACACACTCACATCCTAGTGTGATCTTCCATTTACCCCTGCACACATTAACAGTTATAAATGGGATGGCTGAAAGACAAGGACAGAAGGAGGACAACGTGTCTAAAAATGGAGTCCTGTGTAGAAAATGGCTGATCTTTCACTAAAAGCTGAATGTTTCCCTGTTTGCACCTGCAAATTGAAAACATGCATTACGAACATAATGATCCCATTTCGCCTCTGCGGTTTGTGTTTAAGCAGGCACAATCATGGTGAAATATCTACCCCCGCGCTGAAATGTAATTAACCGAGGGGGTTATTTTGGGGACTGTTTTCATTAACGTGTAAGATCAAGTCCATCTGCTGAATCTCAAATAAGAGCGTGTGTAGGTGGGGAGCAAGGCAAGGTCAGTCCATTAAGTGAAACGTGAAATATTGTGACCTCTGACAGCGCCCTATGGAATTTAGCTGACACGTCAATAGTTAATACTCATAAAAACGTGTAATCCACCTTGAGGACTTAAAGGGATATTCCAGCAAAAAATTAAAGTTCTCTCATTTATGTATATGATTTTCTTTTTGAAGACCTTAACTGATTGTATGGGGTGGACAGGTGTCATTATGCAGCTAACGACCTCAAACAGGTGCATCTAATTTAGGATAATAAATGGAGTGGAGGTGGACATTTTAAAGGCAGACTAACAGGTCTTTGAGGGTCAGAATTCTAGCTGATAGACAGGTGTTCACATACGTATTTCCAGCTGTATCCTGCAAATAAATAGTTAAAAAAAATCATATATTGTGATTTCTGGATATTTTTTTTTTAGATTATGTCTCTCAGAGTGGACTTGCACCTATGATGACAATTTCAGACCTCTCCATGATTTCTAAGTGGGAGAACTTGCAAAATAGCAGGGTCTTCAAATACTTATTTTCCTCACTGTATGTCACGGATCACAACCTATAGCGCTTCAGAATGTTCTCATGAACCCACGTATGATAATTGTCCGAAAGCAATGGTTTATAGTTTAAATATGTTTAAATATTAGTATTTTTATTACACTATTGTTTTGCTTCACTAAATATTGATTTATCAACTGGGGTCATGTGGATAAACCGCCATGATTGTGTTTTTTTATTTATTTATTTATTTATTTTTTACGTTAACTCTTGGGTTGTTGTCCACTGGCATTATATGTGATGCGATCTGGGAAAACCCGCTGGATGTCGCGCTGGTACTTTTCCGTAAGGTCTAAATATAGATTGAATGTCAGTTTTTTTTTGTCAAAATTGGGTTTTTATTAAATTATTATTCTATAACATCTTGTTCATCATCTCTGAATATATCTTGGGAAAATTCACTAGTTTAGTGCAGAAAAATAGAGATTTATAATGGCCAAGTGAAAAGACTGTGTTTCTCTTTAAGAACATGCAGGCGGAGCGGAGGGGCAAAAAAAAAAATCTCCCTTTTACTGTAGCTCTCCTCTTAACACTACAAAGACAGTTCACCTATCAAAATAAACCACATAACAGAATAAAGTCCAGTCCTTGGTGAACTACAACTGCTCACAAGTTTTTATTTATTTATTTTTATACAGCGTTATCGTGTGGTGTGATGCGGAGGACAAGAGAACAAAGTTTGAAGCTGCTCGCTTAAAGATCTTGCTCGCCTCTCGATCGTCCAATTTCAAAACGGTTTTCATAGGATGAATTTTGAGTTCGAATAAGCTTTCGAATGATACCTAATCTATGATGATTACTAAAATACGTAATATGAAAAAAGGCAATAAATAAAGAGCGCCAGTCATCCCGCTAGTAGGACGTGACCTAATTAAACCGTTTTTTCTAAAAATTCCGTTTCTGAAAATCATAGCGATCACCCGACTTCAGACCACAATATTTGGTAGAGAAAAACGATACAGGAAATAAAAACAGATTTGGAAAGGGCTTGAACCCAGCTTTAATAAAGTCTCAAAACCTGTAATATGTGGTGGGTTTTCCCAGATCGCATCACATATGATGGCTTTTCATACCTGAACTAGTTAACTCTGGGTCATTGTAAACAGAATCCATCTTCCTTCCCATTTCACTCTGCTCATACTTTAGGGTTAACAATTTATCCTGGGTATTCATAAATTTCATACGGTACATTCCTGAACCCTGGGTTAACGTTTTTATTTGCGGTGTCAGTCTCCGTGATTGGACACATGCATAATGTGACCTGTTTCAAGTCTTTAGCATTGAGTATACTCATATCATACAGTGCTGACTGTGCAATCAAGATTTCCTTGAATGAGATTGAGTACTAGTAGTAGACGATCAGAGAATTAAAATCCCTCAAGCCCCTTTCACGCAGGCCCCGTCCACACTACTGCGTTTTCGTTTAAAAACGGAGAGCTCCCGTTCACACTAAAACGGGAAAAACGAAGACCTAAAACGGAGAAGTTTAGAAACGCTGCAGCTGCGTTTTGCGTTTTGAATCTCCGGAGGGCGTTTTAGTGTGGACGAGACAAAACGGAGGAGTTTACAAACGATGACGCAGAGGCTCACGCTCTGCTCTATGATTGGGTGTCATCAGTCATGACGTATCTTTCCCTGATTCGCCAACCACTGTTTACACCGGCGCGCGCATGCCCAGTGTTGGTGAATGGTCACGTGATCCACGTTTTCAGTCGTTTTAGTGTGGACGGAGATAAATTCTAATACGCAGGTAAAACGCTAGTGTGGACGGAGATCGTTTTCGTTTTAATTCTCCGTTTTTAAACGCAGTAGTGTGGACGGGGCCGCAGAATCTTTGTATCCCTTTTTATCCCAGAAAACTGCCATAGAATTGCTAGAGTGCCTTCTGTGTGAACGCAAACATGTTCCAGGATGGGGACCTAGTAACAATAGGGGTTTTCGCACCGGAGAAACCTTTCATAGTTTCTATAACTTATGGCTACCCGGATTTTAGCGTAGAGTAAATTTTTAGAGTATTGCTGGGATCAGTCCCAACAAAAGTCAGGACCAAGGGGTGTGTCATAATGATGACGGACGTGTCTTCGCAATGGTATAGTTATCGTACCAGGGGGTTTAAATGCAGATTATCACATTGCACAGTAACTAATAAGAAAGTTTGTTTTCATCATCCTGATGTTACGTGTCTTTACTAGGATGATTCCAGCAATCAAAATCAAACGATCCCGGGACACATTATCAATGTATTTTCCGGAATCTCTGTGTGAAACCGGTTTAATAAAAGCGCATTGTTTAAGGTGAAGCGTGTGAATGACGTGTTTCTTGACCGATCAACACCTGTGCTGTATTGCAGGAGGACGAGGCGGGAGACGGGAGATTCAGCTTCTCCGCCTATGGCATGGGTCCGGCCTGTCTCCAGGGCAAAGATGGCATGGCCATCAAGGGCAACAACAACAACGCACCCACCTCCACCAACCCCCCTGAGAAGACCGTAGAGGAGATGCGCAAGCTCTTCATCAGCCGCGCCAAACGGATCGACACAGTGTCGCGTGTGGCCTTTCCGCTGGTCTTCCTCATTTTTAACATTTTCTACTGGATCATTTACAAGATCATCCGCAGCGAGGATGTTCACAATATGAAGTAAATAACGCAGTAAAGAGATCCGAATACACCCGTCTCTACGCCCCTCCCCACGTCCCACCGTGCCCGCCTTTCTCTCACTGCAGTGCTCTCACTCGCTTCCGGTGATGACGAGTCCCTGCCAGAGGTATTTATTCCTCTTTTTTTTTTTTTTTTTTTTTTCGTCTCTTTCTCTCCTGTCCTCCTGAATAATCCGGACCTGTGCAATAGCAATGCAGTAAAATGCATGATATATGAATGTGGCAATATATTTACTAAAAAAAAAAATGAAAATGACTAAAAGTAAATATTCAACTTAAGAACTTCTGAACTGATGACTGGGAATCCAAGAGGAAAACTTTTTTTGCAACTTGAAGACGCACTGCATTGCGAGAATATGGAGAAAAAGTACTGCTGTAATATATCATATATTTAAATGATAATACTTCCATAAGAAAGTGATTGAAAATTCGACTTTTTTTTTTTTTTTGGTGTCTCGAGGCAGTTTGGGGCTTCCACGATTATACGATGAAAACGTCACTGAGACCGAGATTTGTTTTGGTACAGTACATGTGTCCTGGATGTTTCATTCTGATGTCGATTATTAATGGATCTTGATGAGTGCCAGTGAAAAAAATATATATATTTATTCGAGCTGTGGTCAATGTGTTCCTCTATCTGTGCTCATTTAAATCTTTTTATTTTTGTATTATTATTTTTAAACATCAGGTTGTGTTCTGATCATGTGCCAAACGTCATCTTTTAGGTCGACCCAAAAAAAAAAAGACAATTTCATTTATTTATTTATGTGTTCACCATTTGATATATTAATGATACGGGTTGAGAGGGGGGAAATACTAATAATTTATTAGATATATCTAGACGCATTCTTTTGTTTTGCCATCGTTTTGACCATCTCAGAGTATGTCAGAAACGGACGGAAAGAAAAGCAAAGCGATCTTTCATATCTCATACTATCACAACAGTGTTATTTTTATAAGCTTGGTTTAGCAGTACAGCCAGTGCCATGATACTAGTAGATCTATATTTCCAACCAAATGTATATTACAGTGTTTTTTCCTTTTTTTTTTTCAAACCTATATGTATAAACTCTGCATTGTGCAACAGAATAAAAAAGTGCACAAAGGTTTAGTTTGTAAAATTTAGGATGCATCTTCATCTGGCTTCTCTATGCAATAATCCTATATGCAATTATTTTCAGTGTTCATCATGTTGAATATGGCCGTTTTATTCCGAAGGCCCCAAAAAATGCTATTTCGTACGTGTTCAATTTTCTCTTCCAGTCATGCTCATTTGCTGTCTATGCATGGCGAGGCTTTTTTGTGTGTGGTGCAGATGATATAAATGTCATTTTTCACTTTTGTAATGTTTTGTTTGACTACCGAACTGAAGAGAAACACCATTACACAAAGTGAGCATGTGTCCAGACTGTGTGATAGATGCCCTGTGTAGGATATGCAAGATTTTGCCATGCGTGACATATATAAATATATATACTTTTCGTTTGTTTAAAACCAAAGAGCAGTTTTGTTACTCTGTAGTCAATTTGCCTTTCCGGTTTTCAAACTGAAGTTTGACCAATTTTTCGTCGTCTCCATTTCGTCCTGTTTGACATTGACCAATTTTGTAAGACCTGTAACATTTGTAATTTATTCAGTTTTTCAAACATTTCTTCAAGAAAACCTACAAGCATATATCTTTATACACTGCGAATAGTCAGACATTTTGTGACAGAATAATATTACCAAGAAACTCCAAATGGTATCATGATGTTTTGATGTGCGTATATATATATTTTGGTTGAGAGTGAAGCTAAGTTCATAGGTAATTGATGGCACATTTTAATTGATTTTTTATTCCATTTATTTGGTTTCATTTCTTTAAATGACCAGGCATAATGGCAAATTTGAAGGGCTATTTTTGATTCTTAACATCAAATCTTCTCCCTCAAATGAATCGGCTTGTGACAAAGTGCTCAAATGTGTGATCTGAAAACTGGTTTATACCTCACTGGTGAAGACACTGGGTTACACTATATATTAGACCTCGCTGTATGATACGTTAAGCAGAAGCTGAGTTCTACTCGAGAACATTGTAATGTGAAACGCTATCCACATGCAGCACAATGTAGCAAGAACACATTTCACACATCATTTGAATGTTCACACATGATGAATTGTGCTGAAAGGAGTGTTCACGACTGGATCTGGAACATTACAAACAATATAAATCATCGTTGTTTCAAATAGTCATTCTTCCGGCGAGTCCTGTGCGAGACTGATCGAGGCACACGATGTACGATATACATCACAGTGTACAGTGCGGAAAGTCATGAAGTTGCTTTATACACTCGATGTGCTCATTCTTGAAATGGGAAACGCAAATATGTAGTCAAAAACACATTTAGAAAAAGAACATTTGTAGAAATACGTTCAGCTTCACGTTGCTGTTTATGACCGATTTGTTTCTTGATGAACCCTGCTTAAGGCTATTGACGATGTTGCTGGACTGTCCCGTGTGTAAATGACAGCGGTGACGCCCCGGGCCCTCACACACGCAATACACATGACGAGTTGTGACAAATAGTGCTGGCTCGGGAACACAAGGACAATGTGATGTGAAATATGTGCTATATGCAAATACAATTTGTTATTTGGCTTAATAATCATGAAAATATCGATTTAATGTCCTGATGATTTCTGAATCTTACTTTGAGGCATGTTTCTTTTGTGTGTGTGTGTGTGTTTATCATTTATTTTATTGATTTTGTCCTGTTTTGATTTAATGCCACCTTTATTCGATCACAACTGCCCAGGAAGTGGTGATCTCTGAGTGATGATTGGCATGGCCATCATATGTAACTTATGTACGCAAAACTGTGGGTAAAATTTTTATTTTTGCACAAGTTGGTATGGCCTTAATTTAAAGGGTTTATTTGCTTCTATTGTGGATTGGCACAAAGTGCATCTCTTCATTTGCTTCTTGTCATTCTCCGAGTGCACTTCCAAGCAGTGAAAAGAACAGCGAATTCTTATTTTTTATGTTCCAATACTAAAACATGGAATTTTTGTGCATGAATAGAATTAAATGGCAGATATTTTTGGCTTGTACAGAAATGTGAGCAATTTGAAGAAAAACGGAATGTACCATTTCTGCTATATCTGTATATAACACAATATTTATTGAAATATGTCATAATGCTAAATCTAATTCTATTAAAGGTTTTCTGAACTAAAACATCTGAACAGTGTGTGAGAATTGTGAAATTTGTGTGAGCTAAACCAAGATCTTTGGGTCAATCGTGTGTTTTGTGTTTGGGAATGGGGGGACAGATACCACCGGGCACCACTCATCTCCACTACAAATAGGAATAAGAGGCTACAATTTCCAACAGCTCACCAAAATTGGACAGTTAAAGACTGGAAAAATGTTCCCAGGTCTGATGAGTCTCGATTTCTGTTGAGACATTCAGATGGTAGAGTCAGAATTTGACAGAATGAGAACATGGATCCATCATGCCTTGTTACCACTGTGCAGGCTGGTGGTGGTGGTGTAATGGTGTGGGGGATGTTTTCTTGGCACACTTTAGGCCCTTTAGTGCCAATTGGGCATTGTTTGAATGCCAAGGCCTACCTGAGCATTGTTTCTGACCATGTCCATCCCTTTATGGCCACCCATCCCCTGATGGCTACTTCCAGCAGGATAATGCACCATGTCACAAAGCTTGAATCATTTCCAATGGGCTTTATGCACAGCTGCACTACTTCCTGAACTTCAGCCAGCTCCTTGTTTCCTGTCTGCCATTATTGGGCAAACTTGATTAATTCAGGTGTGTCTGATTATTGTTGCCGTGACTACTCAGGAGGTCAGACACACCTGGATTAATCAATTTGTCCATTTATATATATATATATATATATATATATATATATATATATATTATATGTGTGTGTGTGTGTGTGTGTGTGTGTGTGTATAAATAATAAAAAGAAATATATATATACAACCCGAATTCCAGAAAAGTTGGGACGTTTTTTAAATTTGAATAAAATGAAAACTATACGACTTTCAAATCACATGAGCAAATATTTTATTCACAATAGAACATATATAATATAACAAATGTTTAAATGGAGAAATTTTACACTTTAGTCCACTAAATGAGCTCATTTCAAATTTGATGCCTGCTACAGGTCTCAAAATAGTTGGGACGGGGACAACAAATGGTTGAAAAAGCAAGAAATTTAGAAAGGATTCAGGTGGGAGAACATCTATAGCAACTAATTAAGTTGATATCAGGTCTGTAACATGATTAAAGGGATGTCTTAGAGAGGTAGAGTCTCTCAGAAGTAAAGATGGGCAGAGGCTCTCCAATCTGTGAAAGAGTGCGTAAAAAGATTGTGGAACACTTTAAAAACAGTGTTCCTCAACATCAAATTGCAAAGGCTTTGCAAATCTCATCATCTACAGTGCACAACATCATCAAAAGATTCAGAGAAACTGGAGAAATCTCTGTGCGTAAGGGACAAAGGCGAAGACCTTTATTGGATGCCCGTGGTCTTCGGGCCCTCAGACTACACTGCATCACTCATCGGCATGATTGTGTGAATGATATTACTAAATAGGCCCAGGAATACTTCCAGAAACCACTGTCGGTAAACACAATCCGCCGTGCCATCTCCAGATGCCAACTAAAGCTCTATCATGCAAAAAGGAAGCCATATGTGAACATGGTCCAGAAGCGCCGTCGTGTCCTGTGGGCCAAGGCTCATTTAAAATGGACTATTTCAAAGTGGAAAAGTATTCTATGGTCAAACGAGTCCAAATTTGACATTTTTGTTGGAAATCACGGACGCCGTGTCCTCCGGACAAAATAAGAGGGAGACCTTCCATCGTGTTATCAGCGTTCAGTTCAAAAGCCAGCGTCTCTGATGGTATGGGGGTGCATAAGTGCATACGGTATGGGCAGCTTGCATGTTTTGGGAGGCACTATGAATGCTGAAAGCTATATAAAGGTTTTAGAGCAACATATGCTCCCCTCCAGACAACGTCTATTTCAGGGAAGGCCTTGTGTATTTCAGCAGGACAATGCAAAACCACATACTGCAGATATTACAACAGCATGGCTTCGTCGTAGAAGAGTCCGGGTTCTGAATTGGCCTTGCCTGCAGTCCAGATCTTTCACCTATAGAGAACATTTGGCGCATCATTAAACGAAAAATGCGTCAAAGGCGACCACGAACACTTCAGCAGCTGGAAACCTATATAAGGCAAGAATGGGACCAAATTCCAACACCAAAACTCCAGACACTCATAAACTCGATGCCCAGACGTCTTCATACTGTTTTGAAAAGAAGAGGAGATGTTGCACCATGGTAAACGTGTCCCCGTCCCAACTATTTTGAGACATGTAGCAGGCATCAAATTTGAAATGAGCTCATTTAGTGGATAAAAGTGTACAATTTCTCCGTTTAAACATTTGTTATGTTATCTATGTTCTATTGTGAATAAAATATTGGCTCATGTGATTTGAAAGTCGTATAGTTTTAATTTTATTCAAATTTAAAAAACGTCCCAACTTTTCTGGAATTCGGGTTGTATATATATATATATGATGTGAAAATGTAATAATATACATATATGTGTGTGTCTGTTAAAAACATTATATATTAAATATGTACAAAATGTATACCTTTATATATCATGTAATAAAGGTACAATATATACCTATATATATAAATTATATAAATAATAGTAACCAGTAAACTATTAAATCCTGCATACAGTATATTTTAATGCAGCAGATCAATTGTTTGTCCCTTCATGCACTTTTCAACTATTTTAGAGGAATTACATTTAATATGGTGCTGTAGTCCTTCTTCAAAATTTAAAAGTCAAACGCACATTGAATATTGACATTGTTTATGTTATTATATTATTTTGAAGCATTTTTGTTTTTTTTTAGAAACCCCAACCAATTTTTAGAGGAAAGTCAATTAAGCAGATTCAGGCTCTGGAAAGTATACTGTACACTTTGCAAGAATTTCCCAGAGGCCCTGTATGGCTGCATTTGAATACATCCATACTCTGCCTTATGGCCATCCTTGTTCAGGCTTTTAAATTATGCAAGTGGATTATGAACCACAAAACCTCAGTCAATTTGTCCCCTCGCTTGAGTAGTCTGAAGACCACCCACCCCTCCAACGGCCCTGCGCTTTACAGTGGGACTGGAATTACATTACGGCTGACACTGAAAACCGCCGCTGGGCCTGAAGCCAGTGAAACATGAAGGCTTTGACAGAATGCTTTTTCCTTCAATATATGAGAAATATTTTCAGTCTTAGCTGAGAAAAAGAAGTGTTCATTTTGTTTTATTAACAACTTGGCAACTCTGGAGGTGATTTTTTTTAAAGGGGTAGGCTAGTTCATCCATGGGATACATAGATTGTATGTACATAGTATATATATATATATATATATATATATATATATATATAGGTATAGGTTTGGGGTAAAAAGGGGGCAACAAGCAGATATACAGCAAATTATTTAATTAGTTAAAAAAATAACATCAGGTACCTATTCTGTTAATATATTCCGTGAAAAAAAAAAATTGTATGTCTGTTTATACAATGTATCACATTTCTGGCAAAATATGTTCAGGGTAATTTTGACATTTTGACATATTGCCTTTTCTTACTAGATTGCTAGAAAAATCTAAATAATTTGTTTCTGCTATGATTTTAATTGACTGTACCATGTGGTAATTAGTACTTACCTTATCCCATTGAATTGCAATGACACTTAAATGTCAGTGCAAATATACTGTGTAATTAATACCTTTCTCTGTAATTACAGTGCAAATAGTGTTGTTTCGTATTGCTACATAGCGTTTGTTACCCCCTTGTTCTGTGTAGTTACAGGGTAAGTGTAACTCCTGAGGGCTGTAAATTAAAGTGGTGCTTGTTACCCCTTTATTACCCCAAACTTAACATATTGTTCCCTTATACTTACACGGAAGTGCACTATAACTACAGAAACGTACACCGTAATTTAGGTGTACTTGTTTGTGGGTCGTAAAATAAAGTGTTACCAAAATTAGAAATGGGAACAATTTTTTTTAAAGTTGTCCAAGTCCATATTAGTTCATACTCAATGGATCTCTAGCGTATACAGACCATCTAAACTGGTCTGTTGCAGAATATCCATTTTAAACGATAATGAAATTAGTCGTTGCACACATCCCTACTGCAAAAAAAAAAAAAAAAAAGAAAAAGAAAAGAAAAGAAAAAAAAAGAAATGCAGCTTCAAGAAGTTTGCAAAGGCATCTTGAAAGTACCATGTAGGATAGTTTTGTGTGACTAAGGAGAGAAAATGTAAGTTGCTCATGTTTTGAATAAAATGATTGATTTACTGATAAACAGTCTGAATAATTCACCGACTCTGAATGATTTGGTCACAGTGGTTCACAGCTTACTAGAGGGGAAGATATCCATTAAATAATGACTTTAATTTCGGTCTGTTCCTCACCCAGAATCTCAAACAGAGAAAAATCATTCTAACCACTTGTATGGTGCTTTTGGGGTTTAAGGCATACAATCCTCAATGGCCATGGGGATTAATTGCGAGGACAAAAGGAACCAATTCCAAATTTGGAAAAAAATAAGGAAAGGTATAGCCTATGACAGAATGTTGATTTTTGGCTGAACTCACCCTTTTAATAGCTATAGCTCTGTCTGTGGTGTTGCAGAGGGTCCAGCTGGGGGTCCGTATGTTTGGTGGGTTGTGGCCAGCTGTACGAGGACATCCTGAACTCATGTGGGTCATGAGGGTGTGGAGCTTCAAAATAAAGTAGCGGAGAGAAGCTGCACTTTCCCTCTCATGAATACTAATGCTGGGCCACCTGCTGGTCAACACCCCTCTACATCACTGCTACAGCTAATCACGTTCATTTTATAATGAGCTACAGTTGTGATTGTGTTTTTTTTTTTTTTTTTTTTTTTTCACTTAGTATGATGCAAGCACATGAATTCATAATTAGACCCAATAATCTCAGTAACTCGATCAGACTGAGAAAATGGGAAGATGATTGGCCGGCGTGTGCCTCGGGATAAGGTATCTGTAAAGAATGCTGCTATGGCAATATAACATATTGATATTTGTTGAGAGTGGCAGCACAGTATTGCAAAATCTCATCATTTTGGTGGCTGGGTGATGGATGTCTATAAGTGCAAAATTGACTTTT